ATAATAATAATAATAATAATAATAATAATAATAATAATAATAATAATACTATTATCCATGGTCGCCCAAATCTTTGCTTATGCACATCATGAACAGTACCGTCGGCTTTAAATTTATCCCAAATATGGGCAATTGTTCGACGTGTTGGTGGCTGAGTTCCAAACTCATTCTGCCATTGTCGTTTGTACCTTTTTAATGTTTTTGTACTTCCAGTACCACTTCAATACAGCCTTGCGTTGCTCAAAGAACAACCTTTCAGCCCTTTCAGTCATTGTTGCTACTGTCTTCTGCTCGCAGCGCGCACCCGGCACGACACTCACGTGACTCATGTGACCTTCACCATCTGTTGAGAAAACATTACACTACACTACCGCGCAAGAATGGTAACTACATGTTATTTTGTTCCAAAGATATTGACTGTCAAAGAGTGAGTACATTTTTTTGGACTACTCTGTATAAAAGTGTGTTTGTGTGTGTGTTTGTATGAACATATCATCTCTCTTAGTCAAATGTCACTTGCACCACGTTTGTTTCGTCCATCTGTTTTGGAGTTTCAAAATTTGTCGTTGCTCATACTTAGGACTGGTAAAATATTTACAATTTTTGGACACTGTCCCCAACACATACCTAAAATATCTTATCAATATCTGCAACATATGATGCAGGTACATAATATTTCAATTAAAGAAATAATATCTGACCCTCTTATTTGGATGGTTTGTGATTGCATGGCTATTTTGACCTCAACTTATATTACATTTAAATTAACTGGAAACAGCCGAAGATCCACATTTTTTAACACAGCACATTGCTTAGATTTGTGGGTGGAGAGCCATAACAAAATCGTTTGTAATACAAATTCTTGTCATGTGCAACAGGTATAAAGATGAAAGGGAGATTTTGACTTAGACTTCTAAGCTAATGAGAACATTCTGAAAAAGTTCCATTCTACTTAGTTGAAATTAAAGTTTCTTTCTCTTCACTTACTTACAGAAATGTATGTAAGTATTTGTATAATAATTTAATTACTAAATAAAAAGCCAATAAAATGTCAAGAATTTCAGCTCAAAAGTTTGTGTGCATAGGAGGATGAGGAGGCATTTGAGATGTTTGCAGTCTATTGTGGTCTGGCGCTGCATCATGCCAAGCTGTACGATAAAATTGCCCGATCAGAACAGAAGTATTGTGTTGCTCTGGAAGTGCTCAGCTACCACAACACCTGCTCTGATGTAGAGGTAGCACATGCACAAGAAGATAAAATTCCAGATGCTATCCCTGGTATAGAAGAGTAAGTTACTTGACTTCCCATGATAATTTTCTCCTCATTTTATATTCTATTATGATAGGTAACAAGTGTCTAGTTTTGTGTAGGAGAAACTGTGATAAGCATTCTCAGTTTTGAATAAATAGGCCTGAACTCATTTAATTCTTCAAGAACAAATGTTTTATTAATTTCATGGAATTTGTTTGGTTAATAAAAAAATCTCCTCCTAAAATAAAGACATATGCAGTTACTGTAATCATTTTACATATTTTGTAGCTATTACTTCAGTGTCTTCAAGCTGGATGACTTTCAGAAGGCCCACCATGCTATATACATGTTCAAGGACCTATTTGGACTATCAAGATTTGATAGTGACAGCCTCATCCGATTCACATTGACAGTGAGAAAGAACTATCGGCGGGTCCCATACCATAACTGGACACATGGATTCTCTGTAGCTAACTCCATGTACAGTGTTATCAAGCATTCACAGAACACTTTCAAGGCGAATGAAGTAAGTATTATGAACATGATGTCAGTATATAATGTTTGATAGTTTTATGGTGTATAGAATTTCTGCAGGATTGTGGTATTGTGTGATCTTGCAGGGGAATACTAGTGTATGAAAAGTGAATATAAAATCGCATGCAAGCAATGTTTGAGAATATTTTTTTTTTGTTTTGTCACAAAGGAAATAGAACATCATCACTACCAAACAAGATTAGTTTCCAGCTTTCACACATTCATTTTTGTGAACAAAGTTGAAAAATATTAACTCTACCTGTTCGCTAAATGGGAGCATGGACATTCAGAAAATGTATTTATTAAAGAGAGTTTTTAAATTAAAAATTATATTACCATAAATATTAAGTATAAAAAAAAAAGTGAAGCTATCCCTGTAACAGGCCGTGAAGGCCCATAGGGTTGTGAGATGTTAAGGGTCCCACATTACCTTGACAATCAGCTCAAAGATGGTGGTAAGATTGTCAGCCTTACGAGCCAGCCGCACTTTACTCCCCAGGAAAATAATTTAATTCCTGGTACTCATTTCTGTTAGAGGCTGAGTAAACCCCAGGGCCTAGTGCGGCCGGAAGGATTAGGTCAACTGAAAAAAAATCCAATGATTCGTCGGGAATTGGACCCGCTACCTTCCGGCTTGTAGCATAGTACCTTAACCACTACGCTACCGCGTTATCGCGTTGTAAAATGCAACTAAAGATTTTTTATGAAGTGAAAATAATTTGAAGAGTACTGTACTGTATTGTATTTATTAGCATTCATCCATCCATTCAGGTACATGACCATTGGATATAGAAATTGTCAGCAGATTACATTGATATTTACATAAGATTTTCTTAACATAAAATAAATAAAAATTAAAATATATATAAGAAACTAATGCATGCAACTAAAATACAGAGCTATAATTACTGGGATGACCCAAGGTCAAATTTATTATTCCTATCAAGATACTCTTCAACTGAATAAAAAGAGTTTTCTATAAGAAACTTTCTCAATTTATGTTTAAATTTATTAATATCATGTGCAAGTTGCTTGATATTGAGGGGTAGAGAGTTAAATAAGGTAATACCGGAATAATATACTCCTTTTTGAACTTTAGTTAGACTTACAACCTCTTTATTTTATCCATCACAACACAACTAATATCAAGATAAGACCATTTTCGGCCCTGCTACATGTTTCGGCTATTGATAGCCATCATCAGGCAAACACATGATTTACACACATATACACACCACTGAACCACAGCACCAACAAAATTGGATACAATATTATTAAAATATAAAAAACTCTTGATGTAAAAAATACAATAAATCAAGTTATATAAAACAGAAGTATGATATAAAATAAGAATAAAATTCTTTTGGTGTTTTTACATCAACATGTCAGTCATTGGTTTGTGATTTGTTTTTTGTTTCATTCCCACGGACAAGTTGGAATGAAACAAAAATATCGGAAAAACTTTAGAAAATTTTAAACATGTAGGAAACGTGCCTGTAGATAACATCCTACTGCATATATAAATCAAAGGAGATGAGATAAATGGCATACTCAGTTTTACTATCCTAGACGGTATTTCGTCATAGCCACAAGAGTTTTTCCTTTTCAAACTTCTGTTCATCTTATAAAATTCTTTTTCAGTAACAAGCTTGAAATTTGTTGGTAGGAAAGGTTGGTGAGATTCATGTACTAGGTATTCCAAATACGAATGTTTTGATTAATTTGGTTGTGGTCTTGTTTAATTATGTTTAAAACATATTCATCCACAACTTTAGAGGAGTAATTATTAAAGGTATCTGCCAAAATTTGAGGATATTTAGTTAGTTTCCCTTCAGTGTTCAACATGAGTTCATTCTCAGTATTAGATCCTTTATTAGTCAAGGATTTGATAACATTCCAGGCCATCTTCTTGAATTTGATATCATGTATTCTGGCAGAAAACAAAAAAAACTTTGGTTTTAGTCCACAAGCGAACTATACTGACCGAGCAGCCACTGCTTGTCGGTGAAGTTAGTGTCAACGTTAACAGTTAGAGGGTGTCACGTGGTCAGCGCAACAAATCCCCATGACCGTTAATTTCGGTTTTCTAGACCGGAGCCACTATTTCCTTGAAATCAGTTATCCTCACGAGGCTGAGTGGACCCTGTTCCAGACCCACTACTTCTCAGAAAATCTGGTATCACCGAGAATCGGAATCAAGACCTCTGGATCTGTAGCCAGGAACTCTGAGCACTAGACTGCAGAAACGGTCATGTATTCTTGTAGAAGCTTACAAATTATGGAGGAATGTATTTCTTCCATCTTCATGGTCAAAGATTAAGCTGAGCTAGCAAGTAGGAAGTAGATCAAGAGACATTTGAAGATAGAGGCACTGTGTTCCTCGGAAACAATCGTAAACTTCTACCACACAATACTACATGTCATTTCATCCCAGAATACAGTACTCTTCATAGGCACTGCCATGAGAACCTCATACATCACAGAAATAAAGTATTAATAAAATAATTCACTGGGGCAGAATTGTAGTACAGTAAATATTTAAAACTATGGAGATCTTAAAATGTTTTAGTTCCTTCAATTTTAATTTACTGAAATGCTCATCTATATATAACACTAATCAGAATATATTATTTTCACTGAACTGCTAGTGCTGTGTCTGTTCATGCAGATAACTGCTGAAATATCTGGTTTTCTGGTAATTTTCTCTGAGATTATTTATATCTAAATATATTTCTACGCAATGATAATGACTATTTGCAGTGTTTGGCATTATACATTGCCTCTCTGTGTCATGATCTGGATCATCGAGGGAAAAACAACAAGTTCATGCTGGACACTGAATCTCCATTAGCTGCCATCTACAGCACATCCACGATGGAGCACCACCATTTTAATCAGACTGTTACCATTCTGCAGCAGGTAACATGCACTTCTACACCAAGCTGTTGTTCTATTCAGTATCTGATTATGAGGTAAATGATAGGGCAGCACATAACATAGGTTATCACTGTTTCCACTGATGTCCTTCCACACTCAGCCTTCATATGCATTCATTTCATTTCCTCTTGCTGCTTCCTCAAGTGGCTTACTCTTAGGTTCCAAAGATGAAGGAATTGTGTACCTTCAAAACACCAGCAAATTCTACCAGACTACATGGCATCACATTCCAGATGATAGTAGTCTTAAGTCATTGCTGTGGGAACCTCAAATTTTGAACTGAAATTTCCCAACACACTAATGACTCTCAAAACAGCAAAGCATTGCTGATCCATGTGGTGGTGTGACGTGCATTGATAAACCTCACTGTACATATTCAGTCTCATATATCAACGGCATATAGTGTCAGCCATTGAAGCCATGTAGTCTCCAGATGAATACTGTAGTGCCTGAAAATGAGTACATTTTTCAGTAAATGAATCCATGCAAGATATAAACTGAATAATCTTTAGGTACGTCAGACATCACAACACAGTTAGGAGTAGTGAAATAAATATACTGTCACGTGTTGGAGTGACTATAGATGCAGGTTTGGATTGGCAAATTGGATTTAATAACGACTTACTGGTCGTAACTACAATTAATTATAACACAGTTACTGATTTTCACACTACAAAGCAATCCATGCTAATCTTATCAGTCTATTTCTCCTGGTCTTCATTATCCATTTCCTGGCAATGGATCTATAACACAGGAACTATAAAAGTCTCACTAAATCACGTGCTCCCAATATCACTGTATGACAGTGCAAATAAAGTCTTCAAGTCACATATTAAGTCTTCACAGGCTAACTCCTTCTGTACTCCTACAGCTCCTCTTCTGTACTTTAGTTTACTGCCGTACTCCTCCAGCTTACTTCTGTCAACTGTGTGGTAGCGCCGAATGTTTTCAAGATAACTCCTCAGCACAGACCGCACACACAAGACACATGTCACTTTTTCGCTATCTTGCCAGTCCATTGGCATGCTGGCTGCTGCATACAGAAAACACACGTCACATGACAGCTACACACTGTTGCAGTGATGTCATTGCACCTGCGTGGAAGTGTGTTTACTGAGCTGTTGCTTAAGCCCGTTATTCTACTGTTGCTTGTTTACAGAACTATTGCTTAGCATTGCATTGATCAAATCTGTTAAATACTTTCTATGATGTGGTAAATTGTCTAAGCAACACCTCCACTTTTTGGGGGGGAAACTTCTTTCTGCATAGCTGTGGTAGATATTAATTACATTCTAGACAGTAAAGGTAAAGTTATTCCTGTAACAGGCCATGGTGGTTCATATGGTTCTGAGAGGTTGAGGCTCCCACATCTAGTCGATTGGCTTACAGATGGTGGTAAGGTTGTTAGCCTTATGCTCCTCTGCATTTCTTTTAGAGGCTGAGTTGACCCCAGGGTCATAATGCGGCTGGAAGGATTACGTCAATTGAAAAAATCCACTTCATCTACACTACCGTGTACTCCACATTATAGATAGTACATGATGAAAATATAGAAATATTTATACCTTAATTAAACTGTTGAGGTATATTTCTTTCAGAACATGAAACCTGTGCACATACATTTTGCTTTATTTGAAATTGGAACTGTTTCTCTCAGATGGAAGAGAGATTGGACTGAAACAGAGTTTTCCAAATATGTGACTGAGTTCATTCATTCATTCATTCATTTATTGTACATTCCATAAATCCATATACATAGATATAGAACCAGTCACATAATTAATATAGTACAATACAAATATAAATATATATGTGCAGTTTATAATAATTAAAATAGATAAAACAGGAATAGTGTTAAGGTTCATGTTACATGAAACCAATAACAATATATAATCATGTGGAAGCTACAAGATATTAATTTTGAATACAGCTATAATGGTGATTGTTCCTAAATTTCTTCTTAAAACTGTTTTCTTTGTGTGCTCTTAATATTTGCAGAAGGGCCACAATATCTTCAGCAAGCTGACCAGTGGAGAGTACAAACAGGTGCTGAGCTATGTGAAACACTGCATTCTGGCCACAGATCTGGCTCTCTTCTTCCCAAACAAGGCAAAATTATCACAGATTGTGACTGAGAACTCCTTCTCCTGGAGAAATTCAGAGCACAGGTAGGCTCTCTATAATTTAAAATTCTTGTCTCCCAATTTCTTTCAATTCTCTGTACCTGGTGTCTTCTAGGAGATTATTAAGGTATACAGGACTAATGCAGAAAGCTATTTATTTTATCCCAAATACAATCCATTGTCTAGGTTTGAAATAAAAACAAAATGTCTCAGAAGCTGGTTTTCCTTTCATCTCCAGGCACAAGGCCAGGGACCTAATTTGATGGGTTCATCGGACTGAGCCCATCTCAGTCAATGAATATATTATTGAAATTAGCTCAATCTAAAGGACACATGAGACTAGATCTCGCACATTTTGCCTGAGGACAGAAATAGAACTGGCTTCTGAAAAACAATGCTTTTATTATGAACCTAGAAAAAAAGATAATATGTAGGTTAAAAATTTTAATATGATACATTTATGTCAGATGTGTTTAGAAATTCATTATATCCATTGCTGATTTATCACTAGGCAACAATGCACATAAGACCTACAGTAATGGTTACAAGGTATGACAGTTATTTCATACATTTACCAGCAATTTTAGTTGTAAACAGCTGAAATATCTTCAATGAAAATTATATTCTGTCATGTTATATGTAGAGTCAGTGTTTATTGCTAACTCTTTACTGTGTTCATAACTTACTTATGCTACCATAACTAGAAAGTAATATCTGTTAAGAAAACTTGAGAATTCAAGTTTGTTTGATTTAAAATTTGTTTTTTATCTATGAGAACTAGTCATTTATGTTTTACGAAATATCCATCCCACAAATATTCCACGGATATCCCAGTGGGACATCTTATGATTTTGTTGGGATATCACATGGAGGTACTGGGATGTTATGTGTATATCCAGTCATGTGGAAATGATAACACATATGTTATTGGTGGGATGTACTAAGATGAGTAATACAAGAACAGTGATGAGGCTTGAGACAGGAGTAATGATGAACTGCTGAATTGCTTGTTCAGCAACTTTGCAAGAGTCTGAAACTTTGATAATGTGTTATATACAGAAAGGCAGACATGGTAGAATGAACAACAGTAGAGTTGACAGTAGTCATTAAGGTTTCAACCTTACGAGCATGTACTTGTAAGTACCATATTTTTACATGTTATTTTCAGGCTTCTCATTCAGGCCATTGCAATGACAGCCTGTGACCTTTCTGCAAGTGCCAAACCATGGGATATACAGGTGAAGACTGTAAAAGTTATTTTTGAAGAGTTCTATGAACAGGTAAGAATAATATTGTTACTACTGTACTTTCACTTTTATGTCTTCGAAGCAGTTTCAGTATTACAGGGTATCTCTATTACAATTACAAATGTTAACCACATTCAGAGTTTTTCAGTATGTCATCATATTCAGCAGTATTGTTTTATAACAAAGAAAAATGTATTGTAAAGTTTGTCTGCCCCTGAATTTCATTTTCACTTGGTATTATGCACACATTGTTAAAACAAACAAAATTTCAAAGTATCAAGGTTGACAGCATAACTGGCTCCATATAGAGCAAGTGTCCTTTGGCAGTGATAAACTTGTATAACCCTTATGAAATTTAGAGGAAGAGAGGTCTTAGTATATGAAAAATAAATAACTTTATTCATAATGTTTTTAAAATCAATATTCCTGCAGCCAAAATTGAGAGGAAATATAATGAATTGCAATACAAACTTTAGACTCATGAAAAAAGTATGTAAAGAGCCCGTATTAATTTTATCATGTCTGTCCATCTGTCCATCCTTCTACAAGTAACTACATATAGACTACAGTCATTTTGATGATTTTGTCAGTTAGGTTCCTACAAGTTGTCCAGTTGCTGTGATAGACCTGTCATCTATCTGATGCCTGCCCAAAATACAATTAATTACTTGTATACAGACAGCCAAAGTGTATGAAGTGGAATGGAATGATACTAGATGGAGTTGCAGGGGCAGCTGCCCATTTCAGCCACTATACCTGCAATGCACGCTGAACAGGAGGCTGTGTGAGCCACAGAGCCAGTCTGGACATGGCGACAGAGAGAAAATTCCCTGCTCCTGCATGCTGGTCATCCATCCCATGTTCATTCACTGTAATGACTGAACTAACCCAGGTTGTAACCATTTTCTTAACATAGAGTTTTCTATGTTTTAAGCTATTTAAAACACAATATACAAGAAAGTGTGCTAAAGACACACTTACCAGATAGCTGTGTTACTTCCCATGGTAGTATATGCCCATTAAAAATTATTTGTTTCATTGTAATCCTTCCTTAAATATTTCATGTTTTAAGACTAAGAGGAATTACATTTCATGCATCTTTGTATTAGCTATGCTATGCTGAATGAAAGTATGGGGGCTAGTCAGAAAGATACTCCAACAGTGCTCAAGTACAAGCAGCTGTATGTGGATGCACATTGTCATGGAGAAACACTACACTGGATGTCAGCATTCCATGCCTTTAGTTCTGAATAGCCCTATGCAGTTTTTTTTTAGTGTTTCACAATACACTTGTGATGTTAATGTGGTCCCTTGTTGCATAAATTCCACTATCAGCACTCCTTTTCTGTCCCAGAAAACAGTTGCCATCAGCTTTCTGGTAGGGAGATGTTTAATGTTATATTTTAGCGTCCTGTTGCACTGGCTCATGTCCATGATGTGTATTTATGCACATTTTAGTCATTTTAGAATGAAGACATCATGGCATGCAGTGCAGTAGTTTGACGTGCATAGAGACACACCTGAAGATGGTACATTAGTGCTGAAACATGTAGTGTAAAAGTGAAGAGAAAGGTGAAATTGTGTGCACTGGAAGACGGTTAGCATAAATACACATCAGGGAGATGTTTGTTTAAACTTTTGGCCTGCTTGGTGAATGTGTGTGCATCCAGTGTTTCGACCGCTCTTTAGTTTCAACATTCACAAATGTGTCATCACCTGTTATACTGTGACTGAGAAATTCATTGCCATCTTTGTGGTAACACTCTAAAAAGTCAAAGCCAAAGCGTTTTGTGTGCACCCATGAACATTTTCAGAATCCAGCTTGTGCAAAACTTGTGATAGCCTAGCCAAACTGTGATAATCTCACAGAAATTTGTGGAAATTCACACAAAACTCTGAAATTGTGAAGCCCCATCTTTCACAAATTTTTTGGTCAACACTTTGAACAAGAGGGGTGACTCAGCCTCTAACAGAAATGAGTACCAGGAATATTCTTGGGGGTAAAGGGCGGCTTGTGCATAAGGCTGACAACCTTACCACCATCTATGAGCCGATTGTCTAGAAAGTGTGGGAAATTGTTCCAGGGGATACCTTTACTTACTTGCTTTTTTACTTTGAACAAGATCATCACTCACTGCTGATGGCCAACCACTTCACCTTTTATCATGAAAGTTTGTTCATTTGTTCACCCATTTTTGCACATTCTATGCCATTGTCTTACAGTTCCTTCACTCATTATATTTAGGCTATAAGCTGCGCATAGTTCACAATAGATTTCTGTAACACTCATTTTTTTAGTGTGAAGAAAGTGGATAACAGCATGAATTTCTCAGCTAGCAGAATTACCAATTGCAGTACACATCATAACTCACTCTGTAGAGACAAGAACAGACACTAGGTGACCAGTTGTGTGATGGTTTAAAAGGCAATGAGCCATGTGATGCTACCTTGCATGCGCAAGTGCTCCCCCACTCCTACATTACTTGCTTAAAATAAATGGAGGTTACTTTCTGAATAGCCCTCATATTATTACAATAGATACATATGATCACTTTCACATAGATCATTACCGAGGCACTGAATGTGTTAGAGAGCAGGCTTCAAAATTCACACAGAAATTAGCAAGAAATAATCTAGTGTTACATGGATAAAATACATATACTCCTCTGAACAGTAATGCAATAAAATATACTGAATATTTTTCTGTTCCTCCAGAGGGAGAGTTAGGAAGTTAATAGTTACTGGCGCTGCAATTTATTCTGAAGATGCTAAATTTGATGAGATAGATTTTTTTAGTTTTGGTCTGCTGGTCTCCAAGATGTTTCTTGATATTGTACTGGAGAAGCCCTTCCTCACTGATGCTTATCTTGACACTAAAACGAAGTGTAAGCTACCGATATCCACGATGGAAAAATTCTGTCCATTATTACTGAGTCTGTAATAATTGACAGTTTCTCTTCAAAATAATTATTTGTTGCAGCTGTTACTTTGTATAATTTTGCATGGTGAAATAAAAGAGTAACAGTTTAGTGAATTATACATAACAATATTAAGAGCACAGTCTAATGCATTATATGTTGAGCCATGAGAGTTAAAATAATTACTTTCAGTGATTTAGAACTGAAATTATATCTTCTTAAGGCAGATAACCTGGTTGTCAGTTTCATAAATCAAGTAAGTAAACAAAACCATACCATACCCTGTACATTAATCAAAGGAGAAAGAGAGATATTCTACAAGTATTATATTAAGTGTGGGATAGATATGAACATTAAAACTACTGTCGTTATTTCAGTAAGAAGAGGAAATTTGTTCAGTTCCAGATGCAGTTTGTTATAGGCCTGTAGAATTTGGTGTTATTTTGTATGAAGAGTGTGCTAACTTATAGGGTGATGCTGAGCGTGCTGCTGGCAGGACACCAATCCCAATGATGGACCGGATGCAGCCAGACCAGCAGGCAGCATCCCAGGTGGGGGGAGTGACACTCTGTCTCTCTGTCCACAGCTTCTGATATTTGTACTGCTCAGAACAGCCAGAGTGGAGCAATGATACAGTGTTGAATTATTCAGGCTTGAGAATTTGTTCTATGTAGATCATTATTTTTGGCATAAATTTTGTTTTAATGACTTTCTTTAAAAACCTTCCAATTTCAATAACACTGGTTCATCACCTGCAAATCATCATATAATGTCCGAAGTGTGTTGGGAATGTTTTGTAACAAACAGCCACCTGTGAACATGATAGAATAATTTCTTGTTACAACCAAATTTTAGGAATAGGTTGTAAAACACATAATTTGGGGAATGGGTTTACATATGAACCTTTTCACTTCCAGTAATCACATACAAGGGATGTTCATGATGAAAACAGGAGAGGAATGAATTCTAAGAATACTTATTGTTATCATTACTTAGCTAACTTGAATGTCAGGACATACGGAAAAATAACATTGTAACAACTAGGCTGGAAACAGAAGATTTCCAAAATAAATCTCCTATATAATCCTGAATAATAAGTCAATGTTCTGGTATTTATGATATAAATAACATGAACAAGGTATGAACTGTGTTAGGGAGAAGGTTCAAATTTCTGATAAGTTACACAGCATCAATCATGAGCAAAGTGTAGTGGAGTTTAAAGTCAGTAAAAGTCACACATGGTCGAAATTCAAATAACTTCACAATCTCTAGAGGGTATCACGTTTCAGTTTGTCACACCATAAGAATTCTTAAAGGCAGAAATATTTTTCCACATTTTTCTTTTTCATTTTAACTTTTTGGCAGGTTTTAAATCTGAGATGTTGTAACGGCAGTTGTAACCCACCCAACCAAATAGGCACACATCAAACACACTCAGACAGACCTTGTTATAGAACAGCTTCACTTTTGTGATCACCAATGGATCAACACTTTATTGCTCCTCTTCAGCTGAGTTGGAATTGTGCACTGCACGATTTGAGCTTGTGATGTTGCCTGTCTGCAGTTTGATGTTTTGTTGGCCACTGTTTTCAGGGAGATGCAGAAAAGTTGGCAGGCCATGTGCCCTCTCCTCTCATGGATCGTGATAGAAAATGTGAACTTGGAGCAATTCAGGTGATAAATGAGCCCCTAAAATTTGTTCAAATTATCAAATTATTCTGTTACATTTGTAAGATAACATGCTTCACATATTAGATTTTGTCCTTAAATTGATTTAAGTGCCATTTCTGAAAATCTGTTACCTTTTAGTTAAGCTTCATTCATTTATTCGTGAATGAATTTGGTCTTAATCTCTTATAATTATGTGAGGGAAAATTGTATTAAAAATAATCAACCTAAGTCATGCTATATAGCTTTTGCTTCAGTCAGTAAGTGTAAATTATGTGGGTATCGACTTTGGTTGGCCCCTTTTTTTGTCACATTTTGTCCAGTACAAGGTGGAGAAAATCCAGCCTGAGTCTCCTCCATTTAATGCCATACATTTCCAGTGCTAAAAGCTCTGTGATAATTTATTACAGATAATAGATAATAAGATTTTCCAAAAATTCTATGTATATTGGCAACTATAACAGTCGTATTTCAGTTTGCACCGGGAGCATATGCATGTCTTGCTTGGACACTTATTTACATATTTCTGCCCACTAAAGAATTGTTCACTATGCTTGCATGCCCTGTGAGATAAATAAAAATAATAATTTCTTTATGTGGAATCTTAATGGCATGCAAACGGCATCTGAGAACACTGGAGGACTTGATTAAATTAGTTGTTTGCATTACAGTAGCTGGAGAATGTCGTGCTATTCTCCATTCATTTGGACATCATGGCCTGGTGACTTTATATATGTAGTGCATGCACAGTTCAGCTTTGGCTTACCATGCTTCAAATACATTTACCTGCATTTGTCTTATTTGATCAGTGTATCATCGTAAGCTTGCACAGTTACAAGAAATGTTTATATGTGTATGGAGGTTAACATATAGATTTATTCTCAAATATTGGAATATAATTTATTTATGTTTGTATGTACAATTTCTGTAAGTAGCATACATTTTGCAATAGTTTCAGAATTCTGAAACTAGAAACCTTTATGAGACAGAGGTTCGAATTATATCAGACAATTAAATTGATTAGTTGTTTCCAGTTAAGTGAAATTAATTTTCTTGGCTGAAAATTAAATTGTGACCTTTCATGATTTCTTTTTATTAACTGATTAATTAATTAATTAACTGGGGCACACAGTAGAGTAGTTGGTTGAGGCACTGCTACAAGCCAGAAGGTCACGGTTTGAGTCCTGAAGAGATGGATTTTTTTTCCCCCCAATGTACCTAATCCTTCCAGTTGTTCTATGCTCCTGGGGTCAACTCAGACTCTTAACAGAAATGAGTACCAGCAATCTTGCTGGGAGTAAAGGGCAGCCGGTGCATAAGGCTGACAATCTTACTGCCATCTGTCAGCCCATTGTCTAGAGAAAGTGTGGGAGCCTCGATGTGTCAAAACCCTATGGGCCTTCATGGCCTGTTGCAGGAATAACTTTATCGTCTTTTCACATTTTTAATTAATTAATTGGATTATTATCACGTGGAATTGGATAAGAATTTGTAGAATGGTTATTAATTGGGAATAATGTGAGAAGAAATGAATTTTGACCCGTTTGAAAGAATTTTCCTCGTAATCACATGAAAGCAGTGAAGAAAGCACAGAAACGAGTTTCCACTAGGATAAATCCTGAATGTGAGCTGCATGCAATAGTGCTGACTAGTATTCTGGTTAACAGGTTTATGAAGAAACAGTTCCAATAAAATCGCCCTTACGATGAGATATTATTCAGGTTTTAATTATATGTGTCAAGATTCAAACCCAGACAATGAAAAACAAAATATATATCTCAAAATTCTTTAAAGGAACGATAACACGCCATATTTGATATTGTGAATTTTATTTCACATTCGCTCTTACAATCACACAATTTACAGATCCACAATTACTGCCATCGACAGTATCACAAATACTACAATGCAAATGCTGGTGGACTGAATCTCTGACTCGTAACTCATAACTGTCCTCCATTGCGCAACACGTCACAATAGGTTTTATGCAAATCAGTGTTAATTTATCTTTCCCTGTCATCAATGTGCTCTCATATTTTAATAATTCATGTAAGTTACATGTGCATGCTTCTACATTTCTGGAAGCATGTGATTCTTTTTTTTTGTGTTTCAATTTTGTGAGCAGTGGCTAATGGCTATGAGCATTAAGCTTTAAGAAAATTATTTGCATTGATGAAGAGTAACTGCCAAATAGTTCTAGCTTAATAAACCTGATTCTACACTGACATACACCATGTGAATTTGTTTGAATATATTTATGTATGGTAGTAAAAATGTGTGTGAATATGCGTATAGGTTAGCATACATATGTATCAATATTTTGTACTGGTACCACTGATATTCAAGAAAAGTATAATTTGCACACAACAGGCTTTAATATTTGAGTTCAGCAGCTGTCAAGGTGAAGCCTGCTGTATGATGGACACCGGATTTGTATTTACTTTTTGTCCAAAGAGAGGTAAAGCTGTGTCTGTGCTTATTTAATGAAGCACTATGCCATGAAGACATATGGGAGAGTGGAGGTATAGCTCCACCTATCTTGACCTTGGCACTAGATGGAGGTGAGTGGTCCGCTTCACACCCATGCCTCCTTCAGATAGGAGGCTGGGTGGTCCCCATATTCAGTGTGGATGCTGTGGAGAACAGAAAATTTTGCACTGCCGGGAATAGAACCTGAGTCATCCAGCCCATTGCCCATCACTGTACTGACTGAGCTATCCCGATTTCTATTTTGTGTACATTTATTAAATAATTTTGCACCAACTTGATGTGTGTGAAAAGGCCAACTTATGAAGTAAAGGCCAGAAAGGAAAATCAACATATCAGAAATTTTGTATCAATCTTGACTCTTTCATTTCTGTGTGCTCTGTGGATCAAATTCATCCAAGTGCCAATTATCCAGTGCAAATGCTTATAAAGTGTTCAGCAGTATGCTCCAAATTTTGACTGTCAACATTATGGAATGAACATAACTCATAAAAAGTATGAAAGATAATAGACAAGACTATGAACCAGAACAGCTGGGTTTCAGAGTAGTCTGATAGGTGAGAATTTTGCATACAAAGGATGAGAAATCAGAACACTGGTTGACCACTTTGAATTTTTCATGTTGATTTTGTCACTGTGAATGAACAGTTGTTCAATAGTAATTTTCAGTTAGATGACTTTAGGAAATACAGTGTGTAAAAAAAAAAGTAAAGCTATCCCTGTACCAGGCTGTGAAGGCCCGTAGGGTTGTGAGGCATTGAGAGTCCCACATTATCTAGACAATCAGCTCAAAGATGGGAGTAAGGTTGTCAGCCTTATGCGCCGGCCACGCTTTACTCCCCCAGAAAATTATTTAATTAATTCCTGGTACTCTTTTCTGTTAGAGGCTGAGTGAACCCCAGGGCCATATTGCGTACATAAAATATTTGGAAAATTTATCACATTTTAATATATTAAAAATACCAGTAAATAACAAATTACTTTAAATATTTAATAATCATATTTAAACATCAGAAGCAAAGAAGAAAACAAATATTTAAAGGATGGATGTGAATTTTAACATTTTGGAAGAAAAATAAACTTTTGGTACAATCAGGTTACATTGTGTATGAACATTCAGAGCTACATTTTGATGACAGTCATATGAAATATCTGAGACTAAAGTTTTACTAACTCTGCAGAGCAGATTATGTCTTGAGAATGTGATGATCACTCACCTGGAAAAGAAATTTTCTCTACTTTCGACCTATACATTTGCCTTCCAAGTGGTCTCTTCACTACAGGTTTTGCAATTAAGATCACATATTCGTTTATCTTCACTCCATATATACAGGTACTATATGTCCACCCATCTCATCATCCTAATATTATTTGCTAAAGACTAAAAATTATGAAGCTCCTTGTTGTGTGCTATTTCTTACATATTTTACACTGTTCATAAAAATTGTCACTCAGATTGAAAGACGCGAGTTTTATGAGCTGATCTCTCTTCATTGCATTAAGTAGACCTCTATAATTTTGTATGAAGGCCTACATATTTGTTAATTCTGGTTGTTTTCACCAGGTGGGCTTCCTCACTGGCATTTGCCTTCCATGCTACCGTCTCCTATATGACCTGATCCCAGAGACAAAGCCAATGCTGGACCAATGTCAGGCCAACCTGGAACAATGGAGACAAATTGATGAAGAAATAAAAAGACAGAAAGAAATGGGAAATGAAGTGGATGCATTAGCATTTCTGGACAAAATGATGGAGACATCTGAGAAAATCGTGGAAGAACAAGAAGAGACAACTGATATAGAAGACAGAAATTGACAGGAAGCTTACTGGAAGAAGCAAAATGGAAACAGATCATTGCAGAAGTGCAGAGTATGAATGGAACACTAACTAATTAATTAAATTGCATATAGCGGGTATTTCTTGATAATGTGATAAAATCATCTCAGGCTACCAGCCATGTCATGCCCTCCATCATCATGGAATGCAGTACTGCATAAACACTGGTGGTCATGCATGCACATAGATGTGGCTCACAGGCATGCACACACACACACACATATATACACACACACACACATATATATACACACATGCGCACACACACACACACACACACACACAAACAAACACACACACACACACATATACACACACGCACACGNACACACACACACACACACACACACACACACACACACATATATATACACACATGCACACACACACACACACACACACACACATATACACACACGCACACACACACACATAAACATTATTGAGGACCAACTTTTATAGGACAGCCAGTGATTTTTGGAGATGGTGGGTAGAATCAAGTGTAAACACATTTCTGCTCCATCCATGTTATTCTTGCTTAACATAGTAAGTTAGGTCAATGGCCGCGCCATAGCTCAAGTGGTTAGTTGCTGGCTTCCCACCGCGGCGGCCTGGGTTCGATCCCGGGTCTGGTCAAGTGGGATTTGTGGTGGACAAAGTGGCGCTGTGTGCAGGTTTTCTCTGAGTACTTCGGTTTCCCCTGCCAATCTTCATTCCACCAATTGCTCCACAATCACCCTCACCTGTCATCTGAGGCTGGTACAATAGGCCAGAAGTGGCCGCAATACAAGGGACTTAGTCCTGCCCCACTAGCAGTAAAAAAAGTTAGGTCAAAGTGACTCATCTAGTTCAGCGGTGTCTGTATGATACCTCACTTTGTTGCATGTATGTAATGTTATTGTGACCCATCCAGGTCTTGTCTCACTATAACAGCTTCTTCACTCTGAACAGGAACCACAGACTGAAATAAGCAAACCTTCTGGAATGATTATGATGCTGCACATGAAGTCGACCCCTGACAAGATCACCAGATCTACTTGCCAAGTATAATATTAAGTTGGTGCATTGGCCAGTCGAGAAGGGAACAACAGACTGAGATCTGTAAAAGATAACCTGGGAGGAAATGTGTTAGGCATATACTGCTTTCTGTGCAGATTGGGTAAGGTGTGTGTGTGAGAGATAAGATGCTCCATGGAATCTGAGTGCGGAAAGAACATGCACGCATACACTTCTATTAACCATTAAATGCATAGTATTAGAGCACACTATAAAAACTGGTCATAGAATAAATTTTAAGAAAAAAAGTATATTAGTGAGAGCAACAAAATCAAGGACCACTTATAAAAGGATACCATCGAAACCCACCTGCATAACAGTAGTTTCAATGGATACAGTATATTCACACTAAGCCAGGTGTGATACGAGCTCACCAACATGCTCCAGAAATTCATGTTAGGTACACGGGATATAATACTCAACATTTTCAGTAGGCTTTAACAGGGCCACATCTAAATCAGGAAAAGAATTGAGGTATCTATCATGCTTCAGGTCACATAACATACAACTAACAGAATAACGCCCCATGCAGACATGACTATGCCAGATAGGTTATTCTGAGCCAGTTTGTCAAGTTACAAAGAACAAGCTAGATGATGCTTAGATGTATTTACACTCGCCTCCAACCACCATCTTTCCTAGAGCACTAGCTGTCCTTAAAGGTGGATCTTTGATAAAAATGCATGTGTGCATGTGTATCAAATCTCTGTGACAACCATAAGTCTTATATCTTTCCTGAAAAACAGATAGTTTATCAGATTATCAAGAAATTACTCTCCTTTTGTGACAGCCAAAGTGTTATTACCATATGCACAAGTGCCTACCGCTGGACCACATCCTGAGTCAGTTGAATGAACTCCACATTCTTTAAGATACATTTTAATAGTATAATATAATATAATAATAAACCTTGGTCTACAAAGTGGTAATTTTCCTGCAAAATATTTTATGTTTATCTATCATCTTGCCATGCATGCTACATGTTCCACCCCACTTCTATTTCTGGATTTAATCAAGAAGAGCATAAATTATGAAGTTTCTTATTATAAAGTTTGCTGCTGGTACAGTGTCACCCTTATCCCATGTGATCTGTTCTCCCATTAAATCTAAATTTTACTTGCTGATTCTTTTGCTGCTGACTTCAATAAATCTGTCATATACAGATTTCTGACATGAACAAAAGAAGAGAATTTTGTGCATCAGACCCCTCATACAGCAACTGATAAAAGAATAAATAGACTTGCATTAGAAGAAAATAGTAGTAATCGCTTAGGCTGTGCCATAACAAATGACCAAGAAGTGGATCTCTTATCAGTGCTCAGTATGTGATCTGACAATAAAGTTCACAAACTCATCGCAGTAAAATTTGGAATAGCCTTCAAAGCTGCCATCATATTACTCCTGATGTCATCAGTCTCATCAAAATGCCTCTCTTTCAATATTTCCTTTATATTTGGGAACAGAAAAAAAAAATAATGTGGGGCTAGATGCTATGAATTGGGAGCGTTCCAGCACAGTTATTAGTTTACTAGCTAAAAACTCCTTCATATACAGTGTTCTTCAGTGAGCTCCTTTGGAACCATTTTTTCACAAACCTTCCTCATGTCAGGATCTTCGGTTAAGATTTTCGTAACTGTTTCTGTGTCCATGTTCGCTTGCTCTGCTATGCTCCTGTCAGTCAGCCGACAATTTTCACGCCCAATTTGACGAACTTTTGCAATATTTTCTTCAGTTCTGCTTGTTGCTGGCCGTCCTGACCTCTCTTCATCAGTGATACGTTCTCTTCCCACAGAAAAATGCGTCATCCACTTGCAAATTGCTGTTTTCTTCGTAGAATTATCCCCATAAACTTGCACTGATATATCTCTGATTTTGCTTCCACTCTTGCCAAATTTAACAAGAAATTTATATTCATTCATTGCTCTAATTCATGTTCTGACATTGTTGTGACAGCACACCAGAACACACTAAGACAATAATGGACGCCACTCAGACACTGCCATAGATCAACAACACCACAGCTGTGAAACACTGATATGCCAACATCATCAAACCATAATGAAGTTTCTTTATAATGCTGCCACAGCAAGCACACGGTGATGAGTTTGTGAACTTTATTTTCAGGCCTCCTACATAATTTTATGTTATCAGATTGGAGGGTGTTTTCAAGAAACTTGTGAGTGGAACTGTTTTTGATGAGTATTTGCTTAATAGTTATAAAGGCCACTGTATTTCAAGCCAAAGTAATTTTGTATATTATGCAGTAAACTTCATATCAGAACTAATTTAACCAGCCAAAATTTGACGTTAATAGACTGACTTTTTTACATAATAAACAACATCTGCTTGGGATAAAACAAAAACTCCGTGGCTTGAGTCTGCAAGCGAACCCTACCGACTGAGCGACCGCTGCTTGTCGGAGAAGTTAGTGCCAACTTTAGCAGATAGAGAGTGTTATGTGGTCAGCATCGTCGTTAATTTTGGTTTTCTAGACCAGACCTGCTTGGGATCATTCATGAATATATGTTACATGACCATGTTAATTAAAATGCTATGACTATTGCTACTGAAGATTATATATTACCAGCACTTTTTTTTCTGAAAACATGCTGGCCAGTTCTCTTAACTCAGCTTAAGCATCAAGGAAAAACATGAAATGCCTTGGCAGATGTGTGACTTTTAACTGTTGATAAGTTAGCCAATATGAAACAGCTGTTTGCCAGTATGTGTACAGGTACACACTAGTTGAAAGAAATCCTGAATGTTACATATCTTATATTGAACTTAATCATTTTTCTGTTAAACATGTTTTCCTCTTCCACTAATATTGCATGAGGCATCAGTAAAATAATTTGGCAATTATTATTTTTATTGGCAGACTTAATTATGATTCAGTCCAATTCAGTACAACAGATGCAATAACTTTGGTGTTCTTGCTCCTTGATAATAAAGGAAATCATTTTTTCAACCAGTCAAGTAAAGTTTACATAATTTTATGTATTTTAAAATCTGTTCATATTTAATTATTTCTCAGCATTGTAACAGTTTAGTTGAAACGTTGTTCCTTGAAACTATTAGCTTAAATTATATTTAATATATATATTGATGTTCTAAGGTGAAAACCAATACTTTTTTATATTGCCATGTAGTGCACCATTTTAAGTGCTTCATGTTCTTTCTAAAATTTAGTTTCTAACTCATTGGTCAGGCACAGGAACTAGAAAACATTCTCAGTTAAAAATGTAGTGTATCTTTATACTGACAAAATATGAAGTAGATATTCATATAGTTTCACAACACTGGTTTACACAGATCTTTATGACAGAAGATGACAAATCACTGTACTTAAAGTCCCTTCTGCACCAAGTCAGTACTAATTCTTTCCCATTAAATTTTATGCTGTTATTTTTATCAATACCAATCCTAAGAAAGAACACAGTGGGGTAAAACCTTGCTTATTCCACTGTGATATCCACTATAGAGTGGGAAGAATTGCTTTTCTTTTGCAAAAGACATAAAGCACATTCTTTTCAGAACCATAAAGATTGGTCTAGCCATTACAAAGTTGGTTTCTGCACTTTCATAAATGCCCCCAAGTCTTTCAGGGTGCATGACATATTGTAAATAATAACAATAAATAAATAAATATATATATGTATATAAATTTCTGCTGCAGTCTTTGTACAATGGTTTTTTAAGAAATTATGAGACTTCCATTCCATGTGTAACACAGTCAAATTATAATTAAAAGTAATATTAAGTTTGGCATCATTTATGAAGTATATTTTTATGTATATTCTATACAATATAATATAGTGTATAAAAGCTGCTAAATCTTCATATAATGCTTCTCAGATGAACAGTGGATCTGAACACTAACTTTAACCTCATTAATATCCAAATGAAGGGACAGGAATCCTGAGATAATTAGATCAGAATCAGAGAAACTTGTCTTCAGAAACTGAATGGAGATCTTATATGTGTAAAACTTACTAGGTTAATTAGGTGTCAATTCTCAGGACTTTCATCTATATACTGAATAACATCCTACCTCAGTTGTGGTCAGTGAACAAAAATTCATCAGTGCTGAACTGTAGCATTTCTTCATTATCCATTTGCTTTCTGTTTTCCACACCATATGTGTTCTGCAACTTGAATGTGACATGAAGTATGTAAACATTTTAGATTAATTAACTGTGTGTTCCATTTCTTGGTAATAAAAGTGATAGTCCACAGAAATTTCAGCTTTATTAAATCAGAATTCTTACATAAGTGTTTTCATTTTTTAGGCACGTTTATATGAAATATTGTACCAACTGTAATAATTTCAGCAAATTTATTTGCCTGTTTTCCCCACTCAGTAATTTTACAGGAACTAAGATGAGCATTTACACTCCTGAGGACCTACAGAATATATAAATTGTACAGTGGTTCAGAAATACAGTACATACAGACAGCAATGTAGCCCAGAAAACCATATCTTCATAGTCATCACTGTGAGAACCTCAAATCCTATATATATGTAACAATGATCTATAGAGACAAAATAAATAAATAAGTAAGTAAACAGACAGTGTTTATGTAGGACATGTTGGGAAGTTGAGAAACACAATATTTTGTTCATAAAGCATGATGAATTTTGGAAGACCTGGTGATTGATAGGAGGATAGTAGGAAAAACAATTTTAAAAATCCAAGCATGGGCTGGAATCATCTGGCTCATAATACAGCCCAGCAGTGCGCTCTTGTGAATATGGTAATGAAGTTTTGGGTTACACTTATTTACTAGCAGATGACTTCACTTCTCAGGGAGAACTGTGATCCCTAGGCCCTTTTATTTATTTGTTTATATCTTGGACACATACAACTGGTTGTGACTTGTGATGCACATGTACTAAGTCACAATTATTATAATCTAGTACATGCTTCAGATGTTATCCTTTGAAGCATAAATTTCAACATAATATTTAGAAACTCATTTCCTACCTGATAGGAAACAACCCAGATTCCCCTTATAAGACCAGTTACTTAATGAATTGCTGTTTGCTCTGAGAATCATAAGAAACACATAAATTCATCTTCTAGGCAAAATACAGATTTTTTTAATGTTAAAGCACATGGTACTTACAGTAACCACTGTGCTGTAAAGGGTTAGCCTATGCAAATAGGGCACTAAGACAATACAAATATAAATGAAATGATTAATAACACCAAGCTGATTCTAGAGAAAGAAGCTAATAAGGGGTTCCAGGAAGATCCATATATCCCTCTTTCCTACTCTGTGAACTTTCATTTTATACATCTTGTATTGTTAATATCATATTTAAGCAATAATTCTATTTAAAATAAGGAAGAATTGCCTGATCAGTGGAAGGTGTCTCCTATTATACCAGTTCACAAGAAGGGTGATAAAATTGACTGCAGTAATTATCATGGGATATCACTGCTATCAACTTCATACAAAATTTTGTCCTATATTCTTCTCTCAAGTTTAAGTCTATATATAGATGAAATTATTGGGGATCATCAATGTGGGTTTTGACATAACAGATAAATTGCTGATCAGATCACATCTTTTGCATTCTTCAGATAATGCTGAAAAATGGCAGTACAATGAGACAGTACATAGCTATTCATAGACTTCAAGAAAACCTCTTGATTCAGTCATGAGGGAAGTATTGTACAATATTCTCACATAGGCTCTAACTAGCTAGGCTGACTAGAATATGTTTAAACAAAAAGTATTGTAAAGTCCATGTAGGTAAAATTTGCCTGATAATTTTCCTATCCAGAATGGTCAAAAACAAATAGATGATCTGTCGCCACCGCTTTTCAACTTTGCTTTACAATAGGCCATTGTGAAGGTCCAGGAAAACCAGGTGGGAATTAAATTAAATGGGACACATCAGCTATTGGTCTATGCTGACCATGTGAATCTACTGGTTGATAATATAGATAACATAAAGAAAAACACTAACTTTAATCGACTCTAGTAAGGAGGTTGGTCTAAAAATACAGAGAAAACTAAGTATATGTTGCTGTCTCATCACCAGAATGAAGGGCAAAATCGTGACATAAAAATATCTAACAGATGCCTTAAAAATGTTGCACAGTTCAAATATTTTGGAATGATAGTAACAAATCAAAACTTGATTCAGTAGGAATTTAAAAGGAGATTGAATGTGGGTAGTGCTTGCTACCATTCAGTCCAGAACCTTTCATCTTCTTGACTGCTGTCAAAAAAAAAAAAAAATTAGAATATACATAAGTGTAATTTTTCCCGTGCTTCTGTATGGGTGTGAAACTTTGTCTCTTACATTAAATGAGGAACATAGACCAAGGATATTTGAGAACAGGGTGCTTCACAACTTTCACTCTTCACCAAATATAATTAAAATGATGAAGTCAAGGAAGATGAGATGGGAAGGGAATGTAGCACGAATGGGGGAGAAGATGGCTGCATGTAGGATACTGATGGGAAAGCCAGAAGAAAAGAGGTCACCAGGACGACAAAGATGTAGGTAGGTGGATAATATTAAAATAGATCTTGGATAGAATGTGGTGGTACAGACTGGATCAATCTGGCTCAGGACAGGGACCAATGGCAAGCTCTTGCGAACAGGGAAATGAACCTTCGGATTCCATAAATTGCCAGAAAGTTCATGGGTAACTGCATAATTGCTTCTCAAGAAGAGCTAATTGTCAGTTCCAAGAATTTTGGTAATATGCTCGTAAAAATAAAATGTAATGAACTCGTGAGTTAGAATGGTAGAAATTGTATTGTCACGTATTGGGTGTTGCGTGACTGATAATCGTGGGTTCTAGATTTGATGATTGGATTTATTGGACGTTTCTACATAATTACACTTGATTATAAGTGTTCACAAATTGAACTCGTTCATAACGAATCTCTCACTGTATTTCTTCTGTTTTACGGGCTGATCTCTAGCCTCTTGTCTTCTACTACTTAGTACGATCGACTCATTACCTAGCCGTTGTCTAGCAACAGACCTCTCTGTTGTGCTTTTGTGACTGAGCATTTCCGCCTTTCTGGCTTCATGTCAAAATGTTATAGATTATCATCGTTGTCCTTGACATTTTGGAAGCTAAATTTGTATCACATATTTTGAAACATCCTATCGTTCATGTTTACGACGTCAGCCATTACCTTCCTTTGTAGATCGGGGAATTAAAGATACGCTTTTCTTTCCTTCTCGTTCTTCCAACTTCGTTTCTCCTACTTATGATTTTGAAAGTAGTGTTGTCATATTTTCGATCATCTTATGTACAGTATAAAAAATTCGACAATTTCTTTACGTTTCTCGAACTTGCTAGAGAAGGCGAACTTATGCGATGTTTTGTATAGTAGCGTCCGGAAAATTTACACCGAGATTCATATCCCTGCCACTTTTTCGGAATTTTAGTCTTTGTGTGTATGTGGGGGAAGGTGGTTATAAATGGATTATCTTAGTGTACGTCACACTGCAACATACTTCCTCGTCTCAGATGAAGCTCATGATTCATTAAAGGAGTCCAGCACAAGCGGGGCTAGAATTTGCGATTGCGCTGCTGCGCCACTTGAATGACGTAATTTCTCTCAGTCTCGTTCACACTGTGCGTGTGTATGTGTTACCTAGGCACTGAGCTTGAGGGACTGGAAGTATACTAAGTTTGGTAGACGTGCCCAATTAAGTTGGATATAATGGTTGGAAATGCAAGAACAGTTGTCAATGCAGATGTGGAGAACGTCGCAGCAATATCAAATAACCAAGACTGTAAGTTATTAAAAGTTGCTTAATGTTGTATTTGTGTGCGTTTTTTTTTCAAACAAAGGGCGAGAAATAATATAATACGTCCTACCGTCTGTTTTATATTAGAAACTATTGAACGCATTCTCATGAATTGGAATTAGGTGTATCTACATCAGGGGGATGAAGGTACGCCTACATAATTTGGTGTCAGTTGTTGCTCTGAAACGTCGGCGGCACGAACTATTATATTCACAAGTTCTAGCAAGAACCTCGGCGAAACGCGCGGGTGGGGAAAGACCGCGAGAGATACCAGGCTAATTCTGAGAAAGACAGACTTGGCTAAAAGAGTGGCTTGAAGGGCTTGAATATGGATAGAAGGTCGCTCCACGCCCGCCCATTCAGAAAACATCTAGGAGCTCCGACACAGTGGGGCCGCCGAAGCACCAGAGCAAACATGTTGAATGCGTGCGGCACCAAAACCCCAACCAAATCCTTAACCTGACATGTTGCACCAAAAAAAACAGCGTTACGTCCAAGAAGGTAGCAAGCCATGAGCATAGCCAGAGGAGTTAAACCAGAAACTTACGGTTAAGATTGTTTTTACGGATCGAACTAGAGTATTCATATTATAAGAATATTTTATAAATAATTGTAATTTATGGTATTAATATTTGGTATGTTGCCTTCTTTTTTCAATTTTGATTATTTTTAAAAAACAAGTGGGAGATAGATCCTGTTTACCCCCGTCTCGGCGCCCATGCAGTAATCCTCCGTGAGATTTTCAAATCTTGCACATACGTATATTCGCAGTTTGCCGGCTATGCTTTTCTTTCCGGTCCATCTCCTTACTAGATGCTAACAGTTCAGTTTCGGGCATAGCTAGCCTGCTGGTCGTGTTCTGTGTTTAATTTTACTCGGAATTTTTTCAGCTATGGATCTTAGGGTTCTGATTGCATGTTTGTACGTATGTAATGAATAAACAGGAGTTATGGACTTTTGATCTAAATTGAAGAAGGCCAAACAATCAGAGACAGGCACAAAATTATTTGGAAATGTAAGATAGAGGTTAAGTTATCCATGGGTTTAATTACGTGTAATTAAGGACCATGCCATGAAGACGTATGGAGACTGGAGGTATGACTCGATCTCGCCTCTAAATGAGGTGCGTGGTTAGCTTCCCCCAGTAAAAACAGCCCGCATACTCATTGTGCAGTAGGATGACTGGGCCCTCGAACCAGTCTGGGCGTTATGGAGAATAGAAAATTCTCATATCCCTGCCGGAAATCGAATCCCGAATCGTCAGTCGTCCAATTCGCAGTCTAGTCATGCCGACTGAGCTATTCCGGGACCCAGTTTGGAAAGGAGACTCTGAAATGCACGAATATTGACCAATCTGGTAACTGTTGTCCTGCTCCTCTTAAAAGTGTATTGAAATGACCGCTGTGAGCTGACGCAGGACAGTCGAAGGTTTGGTACTCTTCAAGAGTAAGACTTTGCGCCCTGTTTTACAGTAATTTTATGTGAGAACGTGCGTACCTGAACGAATTTCGACATTATCATGATCGCAGACAAGACATACAGAAACTGTCTTGTGTACACCAATCTACTTCTGTTGCAGGTGCAACATCAGAGGATGAGCAGCCTCTTATTTCAGAGCGCGGAGTCTTCTCACGTCTGCCCGGCATTCGCGTACTCCTTGTTTGGATCTTGGTAATAATTCTGCTTGGTGGTGCCGGGGTCGGAGCTTTTCTGCTAATAGGTATATATTTAAATTAACTATACGTTACCTGGTTGTGTTTCCTCTAGCTTCTCCTCTGTTGATGATGATTGATGTGGGGTTAAATTCCTTCCGACTAGATGTCGCTCTCTGAAACTGGAGTTATGGGTCCCCAAATTTGGACTTTTAATTTGTAGCTCCGTTTGTTAGTATCACATCTGGTTTGTTTATTGGATGGTCGAGTGACTGGTTCGATGATGAAATAATCGCCGTCTAAGAAAGCTAGGCTGATTTCCTTGGTGACAGTAATTTAGCCGGCTAGCAGCCAGTGTATAAGTTAGTAAACTTTCCAGTGAGTTAGTCAGTCCGTAAGTAGTCTGTATCTTTGTCATCCACTCAGTGAATGAATGAATAAATCTGAATGTCAGTGAGCTAGTCAGTCCCTCTGTCAGTCTGTTGCTATATATTGCGTAGGCCTACAGATATTGTTGTACGATGTTCTCTGCTCCTTTCCTCCTCCTCCTCCATCATCTTCTTTAAGAAGGTCGATGATGCTAGGTTTTAAGGCAGAGGGGCGGCGTGGACAAAGCAGCAGTGGTGCGGAATTTTTCCTAGTATTTTGGTCTTCCGTGCCAATCATTATTCCGAGTGCTACTCCACATTTATTTATTATCCCATCATCTTTGCTACATAGGCCGCGCCATAGCTCAAGCGATTAGTCGCTGGCTTCCCACCGCAATGGCTCGGGTTCGATCCCGGGTCTGGTCAAGTGGGATTTGTGGTGGACAAAGTGGTGCTGGGGCAGGTTTTCTCCGAGTATTTCGGTTTCCCCTGCCAATCTTCATTCCACCAATTGCTCCGCAAACACCCTCACCTATCATCTGGGGCTGGTACAATAGGCCAGAAGTGGCCGCAGTGAAAGGGACTTAGTCCCACCCCACTAGCAATAAAAAAATCTTTGCTACATAGTTTCATTACTAATAACATCGTTAAATAACCAGCTGGAAAATGAAGGTAACGCAGACTGGAAACGTACCCTCAGTGGAGAGACAGTTTACTCGAACGTTCGGAATGTCCTGCACACAACGAACCATCAGTCTCTCTCAGGTGTCTGCAACCAACAGGCGCCGACAAGTCAAAACATTCCTCCATTTTAGAATATCTTGCCAGGTCCGTTCCCCGTCGTGACGGTATGTATACGAATAGTGTGAATGAGCTTTAAATTATACGCGTACTGAATTGATTCAAATGTCTCAGGATACGGTTCGATGACAGGCTTGTGCCAGTACGACAACAAATCTTCGGCTTTCATAAAGATGGAATTTGATGATCACCTGAATAGCTATAAATTACTCGAGGAAGACTGTCCTGTGAAGTTGACAGGTTGATCCTCCAGGCAAATAGTCTGTAATTAACGGTGCTTTCCTCCCCCAGATATTGCCTCCGGTTGCATTGGTTGCTCAGAACACCTGCATAATTTATTTCTTAGAGATTTCAAAATTAACGCAAAATAACTTAATCACATCGGCTGTGCAGTGAATAAACAATTTCGACTTTTATCCACTGATATTATCACCATCTGTCGAAGCGAGATAATGCATCCGTAAAGGAAGAACATCTCAGGGCCTTTGAAGTATGCCAGTAGGTTAAGTACATGACGATGTTGATTTCCATAGCAAGATTTTTCTCTTCTCCATTGTGTCCAGATCGGCTCTGGGGCCCACCCAGCCTCATATGCAATTGGTATCAGTGGTCCTTTCCCGGGAGTAAAGCGGCCGGAACGTGAAAGTGGCCACTAATCTCTAGCTACTGCAGAGGTCAAGAATGACGAAGTTATACCTTCAATTGCTCATATGTCTTCATGGAATAGTACTTGGTTAAGCACAGTGACAACTTTACTTTAACCATACCATGTTGATCTCCGCAGGAATGAGTGGTAGGAGTGGGAGTGCTTCGGACACGCCCTTCCGTCTTGTAAATCGCTCGGCATGGCGAGCTAGGGTGCCTAAGGATACCACGCCATTTCCACGCCCTCCAGCCATTTATGCAGTTATCATCCACACTGAAGGTGTCCCCTGTGATTCCGAAGCAGTGTGTTCGGCTGTTGTTCGTGAGATACAGCATTTTCACATGGATACGAGGAAGTTCAGCGACATCGCTTACAACTTCTTGGTAGGAGGTGATAGCGAAACGTACGAGGGACGCGGCTGGGACATGCAAGGGGCTTTCGCAAAGGATTTCAACAACAGGTCTCTTGGGATAGCATTCATAGGTAATGCACTCATTTCCGATTTGGAAACACAGTTTCTGCCTTCAAAATTCTTGCTCAATGTTGTTGATTGCCGCACTGTAAACAGCGTCAAGCATTTTTTCAAAGGGACCAAAAGTTCTCTGCACAGTCTTTTTTTTTAATAGAATGAAATCACGGTGAAAAATCATAGATCCGCATGTCGTCCTTTCAACAACTTAACAACTTTTGATGAAATTTGACATTACGGGTCTACACTAAATGTTGTCATTTTTATGCCATATCTGTGCAGTAATATTCCTAGATTTACACAAAGCTGAAATCGATGATTATTATTTTTCTAAGATAGGCACATCGTACAGAAGAAATAATATGTCACATAATATTTACGTCAACAATTCTGATTTTACATTCTTGCCATATATCGAAAGTACACTTAAATAAATACGCGTAAATTAAGAGTTCTATTACCTCTGCTTACATCTAACATTATGCCGTGGTCCCATATTACCTACAAAGAAATGTTCATAAATACATTTTAATTTTTACTTCATGAGACCAAAATCTTACGGTGCAAGTGCTGCATACTAATTTATGACCTGTCAAGTAGTGTGGAAGATCAGACATGCGAAGATACAGACAGATATCCTCTCCCTATATTGCGTCCGGTTTATGTAACTCGTGCAGTGAATGCATATGCATCTGGCGTCACTGACGGAGAACCATTCATTTATTTGCATGTCGATGTTTACACTGCTTATTAACGAACTAACTCCACGGAGCCTAGTCTTGTTTGAGAAGCCGACAGTCGCACAGCTTTACACTGCTCATTACTACTTAGCAACGAGCAGTGTAAGATTCAACAAACTCATAGTCCTGAGTTCTGAATGATACAATACACGTACTTTAATAATTCACGTATTATTCATTTTTTAATTTACATGTAGACGCTTTCTCAACTGCATGAGCCGGTACAGTTCAGGTAGCAAAGTGACTTTCTGGATAATTGTTTAGGTACCAGGCTCGGTTCTTGGCAGTGACGGGGTTTTTATTCTTTGCCAACACACCCACACCGTCTCTGAGACGGGCCATGGACACAGAGGGCACAGATTGCCTTCCGGTGCCCAGAGGGGCTTTGGCTTTTTTGGTAAAAAGAAAAAACTGAGCATGAAATTGACCACACAATCATCTAACGGGCATCGCAAGGGCAAATTATCAAATTTACTTCACTTTCTTTTGTCAGCTGCATAAGACATATAAAATTTATATTTTAATAGTATAAATGTTTGGTGAAAGGTTACTGTGAATGATAATTTTGGAAAGAAATTGAACTGTAGTGGTCTATTTTAATTTTTATAATTAGAATGACGAAGTCTAGTACGACGAGATGGGCAGGGCATGTAGCACACATGGAAGAGGAGAGAAGTGCATACGGGGTTTTGGTGGGAAAACCAGAAGAAAAGAGACCTCGAGGAAGACCTAGATGTAGGTGGGAGGATAATATTAGAATTTATCTTAGAGTAATAGAATTGTGTGGTACGGAATGGATTGAACTGGTTCAGAGTATGGACCACTGACAGGCCCTTATGAATATGGTAATAAACTTCCGGTTTCTGTAAATGTTGGTAAATTCTTAAGTAATTGAGCAACTGGAAGCTGCCCAAGAAGGACTCAACTGGATAGAGTTAGTTAGTTATTTACTCATTTGTCCCAGCATTTTATTGAAAGAATAGAGGAGGAGTATAAACATGAAATTCAGTGGGGGATGTTCATAGAGCAGTATGGGAACAATCGTACAGTGTCTGTAATGTATATGATGTATGTTCATTTAGGGACTTTTGATACACGAACACCGCCTAAACAACAGCTGGAAGAAGCACAAGCGCTCCTCGAAGTATCAGTGAAGAATAAGAAGTTATCGAGGGATTACATCCTGGTGGGGCATCGGCAGGTATCAAATACTGACAGTCCAGGGGAGGCCCTCTTCGAAATTTTGAAAACATGGCCACACTGGAAGGACTGCTTCATGTCATCTTGTTGAAGAAGTCTTGCAACCACCTGTTCATCTGTTGCAGTAATGAGCCCTGTGGTATATCTCCAGACATAAAGCACTCTTCGTGATGACTGACTTCTAAAAAGGGAAGACAAAAGGGGAAATCGTTAAAATTAGTTTAATTTTGCCCTATAAACGTAGAATCAAGGATGTTCACCATTGCATTCATAACAGATCTCTTATTACACACATACACACACAAACTTACGCATACATACACATAATCTTTAATAAAAAAATTGAATGAACGTGTAACCTATTCCACAATAATATTAAGAATACTATCGTATTGAATGTAACGCCGTTCAGTCTGGTGAAAGTTTACGGTAATTTCGCAGGGATGTACAGCCTCCATCTTCATGATCGAATAGTAATCTAAGCAAGCAGAGTAAATTGCTTGCAGCTTGCTTGACGTACTCTACTACCTTGAAAATGGAGGCTGTACATTCTGCGAAATATGAGTAAATTTCTACCAGACTACACGACCTCGTATCACACTCTACATAGTCACTGTCGCGAGAGTATCAAATTTAACATACAATAATACGCTCACCATGTATTCATATCATGTTTGTTCCTTCTCTGTCGTAATTACAGCATCACAATGACACAGTCTCACTTTGTGAACGTTCAGTTCATGAAGTTTCGCAGTAGAAATATTTATCATTAGCTATGGTTGTTTGTTTTATATCAGAATATATTGCCCTTTATCACGATTTAATGTGCGCATGAACATACTTCACGTGTATTTCAATTACGGATGTTCATTTCAAAATACATAAGCCTATTTTTTTTTCGTTATAATAAATAAATACCTTCACATACACTTACTACCTGGAATTATTTGATGCTCAGACACGAATCTCTCGACATATCCATCGAAAGGAAAGCGTGCTGCTTGCTTAAACTCTTTCCTCTCGTGTTCGGGCCCGGAGCGCAGTCAAGCATACACGTACAAAACCCACCCCACATCACAGCAGACGCCGGAAATGGCACGCATTCCTTGCACCACTGTAAAATATTCACACCGACAAGTTGAAGCTTCCTTTCCGAAATCGATGGAAAACAAAAGGAGATTTGACGGTTTATGATATTAAATTTCATAGAAATTCCCTCCGTATTTTGAATGTGAAAGAAGTGGACAGTTGGATAAAGCTATCGTTTCTATATTAAAGACCTACTCGGGCTGTGCAACAGTTCCCGAGGCACCATCGTCGTAAGAAATGTCAAATTCTCCGTTGATTGGTTCTTGTAGCAGGAACTGCAGCTTTTACTGTCCTTTAAAGGAGGAACACCAGATGCTGTTCCGCGCATGTGTATACACGGCTTGTCACTTCCGCCTGTTGCTAAGCGTAATGCCTGGCTCACAGAGCCGCGCCAATTCTTTGTTTGTTTGGTGACGAACCGTAAGACTATCCAAGCTGCTTTCTGATTACTCAGCTACGGAAATACTAGTTACCAGCATTTTTGGCCGCGCCATAGCTCAAGCGGTTAGTCGCTGGCTTCCCACTGCGGCGGCCCGCGTTCGATCCCGGGTCTGGTCAAGTGGGATTTGTGGTGGACAAAGTGGCGCTGGGGCAGGATTTCTCCAAGTACTTCGGTTTCCCCTGCCAATCTTCATTCCACCAATTGCTCCACAACGCGGCAGCGTTTCCATTGAGAACACTGAAGTGCCATTAGGAGAGTGGAGGGTCGAGTACATCGCTGTAAAATAATGGCATATCATGCGGTGTAAGAATTGAGTTTCTCTAGCCTTTGTGTTATGTATACGATGTATATTAGTAAGATCATATCTGTCTGTCTGTCTGTCTGTCTGTCTGCGTGCGTGTTTTATCTCTAGGACCTCAAAATGACTGTAGTAAAACCCTCTTCACGCCATGAACCAACTAGATTGTCTCACAGTACTTTCATGAACTAGGGTGGGGGGCACAGCAAGGAAACTGGAAACCGCAACGCAACCCAAATTTCCGAGAATCGTTGTCATCTTGAGCTGACCACATGTTTACTGAATGCAGCAGCGCAAATTGAGGAAACGGCAACGCAGCTCGGCGGAAAACTGAGGAACTCAGCTTCCAGGCAAAGGACCATGGCACTCTCTTCACAATTGCATTGCGGAGTTGTTTCGNAATCGTTATCATCTTGAGCTGACCACATGTTACTGAATGCAGCAGCGCAAATTGAGGAAACGGCAAAGCAGCTCGGCGGAAAACTGAGGAACTCAGCTTCCAGGCAAAGGAGCATGGCGCTCTCTTCACAATTGCATTGCGGAGTTGTTTCCTAGTGTCAGCTGTTTTATAACGCGCTTCGGTGATTCATTTGTTCCTTGCGATGGCACGAAAGGTTCACGAAAATGCTGATTTTGTTTCTGTGCAGTTAATTGAGCAAAAGCCTTGTATATATGACAAACGCCACCCAGAACGCAGAACAAAATAGATTTGACTTTGGAAAGAATTTCTCATGAGACGAAGGAGTCTGGATCCAGGTTAAGGTCTTTCGAAACAATATAAGCATTTCAGTTTAAATTGTCGCAGAATAACGGAAGCATCCTATGTTTTCTTTTCCTAATATTGTATTTAAGCATCCTGTTGCATTAATATATCATTTATTTCACATATATTTCCGTCTTAAATACGATGTATAACTTATTACCGTAACACTTCTTCCACATTACATGGCTCGACTATATACGGTCATCATCAGTGGTGTTCTATCTTGCTAAAATTGTTGCACTGTATGTCAAAATTTCGTATTGCGTGTGAACGCGTTATTTCCTGATTAAAATAAATTGACATTAATTAAAACAGTTTAATTAACTGCCCAATATTTTCCTTATTGTCGTCATCCTCTCTTCTCACGCCGTTTCAACCAGTCTTAACTACCACCATAATATGACAGGATGAGTATTATTATCTTCCATTGCAGAAGGTAAGTGCACGAAATTAAAAAATACAGCCATGCGTTACGTCGGATAAACATACTCACTTGAGATGATATGAGCAAATAATCAAACATAAGTTTTCTCAGTGTGTGCCTGCTAATCTGGAAACCATTTGCCTGCTTGAAATCGGCGAAATTTATCGGAAATAGCGGTTGCGTTGCGGTTGCCACTTTGCTTGCTGTGCCCAACAGCCGAAGAGATCGGGTGGTTGTTAACGGTTGTTAAGATGTTCTAGAGTAGGCATGTCAAACTCAACTTGTGCAGAGGGCCACCTCAGCCCTATAAATAATAGCCCAGGGCCGCACTTCAAAATAGAAATATACATTAGATTTTGATACAAGGAAATTTAATTCTATTTATTATTTAGGAATAATTTCAATATAATTACCTAAAGTCACATATCTTACAGTTTTAAAAAGCAAGATAATGTCATTTTTGACAAGTATCAAACAACTTTTCAATATGTAAAAAGAGAGATTACACAAGAAATTATGTTAGAAATAGCAAAACATTGAATTAATAACATCAAAATTACATCTGTCGAACTTCATAAACTGTTAACTTGGAAGACAAAAACCAACAACTATATTGTTTCACTTTAATATCGTTAATAATATTATTCGTGAGTGAATTAGATTACCAGATCAATGTTTTTTTTTTTCGGTTAAGTCACATGTTTATTCAGTTTGTTATTAAGTCAATGTAGTCAATAGTGTGTTTTTCTTGAAATATTGGAATGGTGATGATTGATGAAAAACTACATAAACAATAAAATTTGCTACATAACCAAATGAACATTTATTACACTACTTACATTATTGGTTTTTACTTGAGAACTGGCATCTTTTCCAGGATACAAGAGATTTAATGTCAGCTACTTTTCTCTGTGAAGATGCTAATTTTAGGATGGAAGACAAAGGTTCTGCTGCGAGTCTTGATCTGTGCGTGGTTTTGGTTGTCTTCACAAGCGAAAATAACTGTTCACAGAGGTAGGTGGATCCAAATATGGCCAGTATTCTCGCAGCAAACTGGCGCATTTGTTAGAGTACTGGCTGGCAAATAAGAACAAAAATTGAGGGATACCAATTTCATTATATTTGTCTTTGAGTATTGAATCACACTGCATTTCAGTTAGTTCCATTTTAATGTTTACTATCTGCCTTCTGAATATCGAATGAGAATGGAGCCGTAAACATAGAGAAATCGTTCTCGCACGATTTGAAATCTTTAAACCTATTTTCAAAGTCATTAATTAATTCCTTTATTTGGGAAACATAACTGGTAAAATCAGAATTACTGTGGGACTTTTTGAAATCCTGGCAGGTAGGAAAATGAATTAAGTTTGCCATTCTTCGTCTGTCCTTCCCAGAGTTTGAGCTTTAATTTAAAAGCCTTAATACTCTCATACAGTGAAACTACAACCTGTCTTTTCCCTTTTAGCTTTAAATTTAAGTCATTCAAATGCCAGGTAATGTCCACTATAAAGGCCAAATCCTGAACCCAATTATCGTCACAAAGTTTGTTGGGTGATTCGCCTTTCATTTCCAAAAAGGTCTTAATTTATTCTCGAAGAAGCCAAAAGCGCTTTAAAACACCATAACACGAAAGCCAGCGAACTTCTGCATTGTACGGTAGACGCAAATTCACATCGAATGTCACTAAGTAAAGAAGAAAACTGACGTTTATTCAGTCCCCGAGATCGAATAAAATTCCCTACTTTCCTCACAAAGTGCAACACATGATTCATTTTTATGATTTTTGTGCGCAGAACTGCTTGGTGAATGATACAGTGAATATGGTGAAACTTACAACTAGGACAGACTTCTTTCTGCTTGGCCATTAACTTAGCAACAAATCCGTTCTGTTTCCCCGTCATAGGAGCCCCATCAGTTGCTACACACACAAGTTTCGATAACGGAAGAATGTACTTTTCTAAGAGCCCATAAACTTCGTTAAAGTTATCCTCACCATTTGTTGTGTTTTTAAGAGAAATTATGTCTAGTAACTCCTCAGTTATAATTAAGTCAGTATCACAGGCCCGGATAAAAAACACAGCTAATTGTGCCACACCACTAACATTTGCACTTTCAACGACTTCAATAGAAAATACCATGAAACTTTTAACTTTTGCCAACAACTGTTCATTTAAATTAGTCGCAATATCATTAACTCTTTCGGCAACAGTGTTTCGTGACAAGGAAATGTTTTTGAAAATTTGAACCTTATCGGAACATACAACTTCTGCGGTTTTTACAAGACACTCTTTTACAAATTCACTTTCGCTAAAACATTTAGAATGCTTTGCTATAAGTTCTGTAATTACATAGCTTGCTTTAACAACGGCTTCATTGTCTCGTTTCACGTTCGTAAACAAAGATCGTTGCTTGCCGAGTGCAGCCTTAAAATCCCGTAATTTATCTTCCCTTGACTTTTCTTCATACTGGTCGTATTTTTCCCGATGGGTTTCGTAATGCCGTCTTACATTATACTATTTTGGAACACTTATATTTTGCCCAAAAATCAAACATGTAATTTTACCTTCTATTTCACAACAGAAATAAGTGATTTCCCATTTTTCTTGAAAAACACGGCGCTCACTTTCAGTAGTTCTTTTTTTGCTACTTGAATTTTTTGAAAGCGACATAGCCCTTTAAAAGTTACTGTACATATACAAGAAAACTCGTAGTTGATAATTTAATGTTTAATTATAACCCTTATAGTATAAAGGTATAAAAAGTATAAAGTTTATACGTTCATCACAATGTAACATCAGCACCTGTCGCTGTGCGAAAATGAACTCAATGACAATGTACAAGAGACTATCGGACTAATAGGAAGGTGTATCTTGTCTCAATGGTCATAAAAGTGAAAGTTTGCTATCAGCCCATTAGACAATGGCTGGAGGTTGCAAGCTAGTTTTGAAGGTAGAAGTCCCTTGCACTTGTCTGTCAGTTGCCACCCTCCTTGCATTCTTACTACGCCTTCAAAAGGGATTCTTGGAAATACTTGGGGTGGTGAGGCTGTGCGGATTTTAGTTAATTAACCTTCTGAAATACAATAGTTTGTCCTTCACAAACTTTACAAACCATTAGCTGGACAAACCCTTCTGCAATTCTCAGAATCACTTTTCCTGCAGCCAGCTAATTTATGTCTGCGTGAGACTTCTGTTTTCTGGTCTGTTGGAATCTAGAATCTAGGGAAAGAACCAGAGTGCGTCATCACCAGTTAGTGATGTAAACCGTTACGTAATCATTAAAAAAGTTGCTAGATTCTGTTTTACTTCCTACAATCATACGCCGGCAGGAAGTTCAAGGTTATTATTGTGTTAATATTCTTCTCATTAGATAGCAGTAGGCATGTGTGGCTAATGTAATTGCACCTTGTGTGTGTATGTAGTATCAGGGCTTGAGGTGGGGCGGGATGGCATCCCGGTTCTATTTTCATTCCACCTCAAGCACTGTATAGTATTAATATACTGAGGCCCTTTTATTGGGAATAATAATATTATAATTGTTTACTTATAAATAATGCTTTTCTAATGCGTGTTCCTTCATTTTGCGGTACTGATCCAGTCGTACTTCTTTTAAGAAGGTACGCCACCTTCTTTACGCCTGTGAATCCTTCTCCTCAGAAGCTCAATACAACGGGTGCTTCATTTTTGTCAACAACTCCAGACACGTAATTTCTTAATCCTCGCAGGAAAGCCATTATTAGCAACATTTATTCGCCAATTGAAAAAGTTGTTATTAATTGCTCTGAGTTAACAAACATTGAGCTTATTCGTTCTTCTGCTCAAGCATTACTGTCTGATGGTAAGAGTAATAGCAGCCAGGCGCACACCCCCTCCATCTCTTTCCTCAACCCAAAACACTTGTTGTTTCCGTTTACCGTGTTAACATTACTCCAGTGTGAAGTGTGTTTACAAAATACTGTGTTCATAAAGCAGTCAAAATTCTTTTCATGGTGCATGATAGAAATGAATGGTCTTTACAGTTATAAATAGAATATAGAGATGCTAAAAGAAAAAGATATTTGCAAGAATTGAGATTAGCAAGACAGGATTCTAACGGCACTAATGCTATTAACTATGCTCGTATTAACAACAGAGAGCCTTACTGCTGCTGATGCTCTCCTGTCGCTACGACGTCTGTTGTTACAAGGAGAGAGGATGCGTCTTGTTTGTTACAACCACCACATTACAATATAAGAAAAGCAAATGATAATGAATTCAATCCTTCAATCAACCCTACAATATTATTGGCTTTGGACAAAAATACACTAATTCATGTTTGTCCCAAGAAAAACTTCTAGTTTTTCACTAACTCTTTGTAGCTGGGGAATATTTGATGAATAAAAAACTGTCATCATTTACTTTGTGGGATTGTTGATGTTCTAAAAGACAAACACGTAAAACTGTGACAATTGTATATATTAAATTGTATAAATTGAATGTACAGAATACCTACGAAGCTATGTGGAATGTCGATGTTCAAAAGTTGGCTGGCCCTGAGAAGGGCAGTTTCTTCCACCGCGAATATAGATGCTCATATGTTCAGGCGAGAGGGGAAATGGATGTGGTGCCCGGAGCGTGTAGGTCTTGTAGGGAACTGTGTTGGCATGGCAGGTGGGTTGATGATGACCCCGTACCTCTGGAGTTGGTTGAAGAGAGCACGTAGGTGTTGTTCGTGCTCTTCGAGTGACCGGGAGAAGACAAGGATGTCGTCTAAGTATGAGAAGCAGAAGTCGAGTCTCCATAGAATGTCGTCCATGAAGCGCTGGAAGGTCTGGGCAGCGGTGCGCAGGCCGAAGGACATGAATGGGAATTCGAAGAGGCCGAATGGAGTGGTGATGGCGGTCTTCTATATGTCTTCAGGGTGGACAGGGATTTGATTGTAGGCTCTCACCAGGTCAATTTTGGAAAAGACGGAACAGCCGAAAAACTGGTGGGAGTAGTCGTGGATATGGCGGACAGGGGAGCAGTCAGGGATGGTTCGGGAGTTGAGCGCTCTGTAATCGCCGCATGGACTCTAACCGTTGTCTTTCTTGGGCACGATGTGTAGTGCCGAGGACCAGGAACTCTCTGAACGGCGAGCTGTACCATCCCGCAACATGGCGTTGAACTCGGCTTCTGCGATAGCGAGCCGGTCCGGTGCCAGTCGCCGTGGTCGGCAGGTTACTGGTGGGCCAGATACAGTCCTGATGTGGTGGACGGTGTTGTGTCGTATCTCGCACTGGACTCCGGCTGGGCGGGTTAGGTCCGGGAACTCTGTGAGGAGGTTGTCGATCGGTGTGTCGTTGCTGATGGTCTTTACACTGGGGATCAGTGCGTCGGCGGCTGAGGCCGGGGCTGAGAGCGTCGTGACCGCGTCCAGAATGTGGATGTTGCAGTCTATACTATCTTCGCAGGGGCGCGCGGTAGCGTAGTTGGTTGAGGCACTATGCTACAAGCCGGAAGTTCGCGGGTTCAAGTCCCGATGAGGTAATTGGATTTTTTTTTCAATTGACATAATCCTACCAGCCGCACTATGGCCCTGGGGTCGACTCAGCCTCTAACAGAAATGAATACCAGGAATATTCTTGGAATACTTTTGGGGGTAAATGTGGGAACCTCAAAATCTCACAACCCTATGGGCCTCCACGGCCTGTTACAGGGATACCTTTACTTTACTTTTACTAACTTCGTAGGCCTGTGCCAAGTATGTAGGAGTAGATTAAGTCGTCAAATAAATTACTGGCTCCAACACAAATGTTATAAATACAAACTGTATTTAGACATCTCAGAAAATACAGTATTATACCTACGTACAGGTATTCCACGTTATACGTGTGTTAATTAAATGCTTTTTAATTGGCGGCGTGTGTAGCAACAAGCAGAAGAGAGCCCATAAAGTTTAGTAATATACTTTTTCGGACACCCGTAAATCATTGAACCGGCCAAGCGGAAGAATCGAATGCACTTCCCGTCAATCGGGTGACATGGATATTTTTTTATAGCGGAACCTGAATGGTTCAAAGATTTACCGGAGATATTCAAATTATTTCACTGTATACGCGCCACGGACTCAGACGACTTGAACCACTTAGACCACCAGAATCCGGCATTACGTATAGGAATATTTCGCTTATCTGTTGCCTGTGTTAACGTTGGAATGAATGGATTTGCAGTTTACTAGCGTTTGTAGCTACAGATTCAGTCACATAGGACACATTTTAAAACATTAGGAGTACTCTTCCCTTTTTTTTTATAATTACCTGTATATAAAGCATTCATTAATAGTTTATTGTGTATTTACATTGTATGTACCATTTACAGATAATGTCATGCACTGAAGGAATGGCGGCTTCTCAAGCATGACCGAGCATGACAGTTTCATGGAGCGCCATTAGTTGGTTAAACATTTCTGCCCTGAATTCTCTATTGGCTCTATACTGGTCGATACTGTACACCAGGGACGCCAGGGATCATTTGAAGGATTTGTAGTGACCGATGATGGAGGAGATATATGCCATTTATGCCCTGTACTCGAACCATGTCGTGGAGTGCGACCACGAGTTGGTTTGTTGCGATATCTCGTATAAATGTTTAAGTGATTCACGTTACTTGGTTGCTTTCAAATTAATAAAAAGTGTGGTTGTTTAGTATCTTTGTATGTCTGTTGCATGTTGTGTGACAGAAGATAAGAAAAGAATGATAATTATTAATGACTAATTATTCCGTAATACGTACCCTAACATGAGAGTTGTAGCCTATATGCAGTAAATTTTCTTCCTGTCGGTTTTACTGCCTGAAAGACGCACGGGGCATAACCCTAAAGAAATGTAATTTGAAGAAGCGAAGATGGGAACAGAAAGTCAGATTAATAACATTGTAAGCGAAATATTGGTAAGTAGAAGTGTATGACACTTTAATGACAGTATAAATATGCATAGTTTTCATTCGAAGTGTTATTTCTTCGGTCAAAGCTAATGATCTGTACTTCAATCCTGTGAAATAATTATTTAAAATTGTCATACATATCCGTCTATCAAGCTTTTTGGGTTTGTAATATAGCAATGCAAGAAAAGTACTTCAGAAGAAGACTTCTGCATGTGATGTTGTGTAAACTGATAAGATTATCAGACTACATGAAATTACATCCCAGAAGCAAGTACTCTTGTCATTATGACAAGAATTTTAAGGCGCCTCTGTTTCCAGTTTTTGGTGTGAGTAACTTACCCTAAAATTTTATGTTCATTTTCACTTGTCCTTGCTACTAATGCCAGTAATGGGAGAGAGTTAAATTACTGCTTGCAATTCTGCTAGCTGGGCTGCAGGCATATAATTACCCCTTTACCATGGTTGAGTTAATGGAGACAGCTGACAAGTGCAAAAATACTTGTATGGTACATACTATTATTCTGTTGATGGGTGAATTTTCTTAGTGGGCAATAGATTTAAATAGTATTTCTTCTTGCTTTGCTAAAAATATCCATGTTATAATGCTAATTCTAATGTGTGGTCTGGCATAAATTAAGCCACAGACCACCAGTTAGGAATAACTATTGTTATGAATTTGGGATATATGCACAGTTACTGTCACTTCAAGAGCACGCAGGTGGTGCTGTGCATAATGTTTGACTTTTAGATATGATTGTGCATAAATTTCCAATATGAGAGAAGTAAGAAAACACTATGCACTTAAATGAGAAGCAGTGGAGAAGGATTGAATGTGGAAAATGTTCTGAATCTTCATAGAGTGTGTCTCTGAAATAATTTAACTTCAGTTCTTATCACATGCCCTGAATTATTTTAATTCAAAATATCATGGCACACTAGTGTGCTCAGCACACCACTTGAGAAACAGCAAAATAATTTTTAATGAATGATTGCTGTATATGGTCATATATTTAGAATGTGAGCACATTTATGCTGCAGGAATTAAGATCGCTGAAATCCAGTAAGACTGTACTTAAATGGTGTGTATACAGGATGATTCAAAGTCCAATGGATAAACTTTGGGGGGTTGCTGGGATGAAGATTTGGAACCAGAAAATTCAAATAGAGTGATCTTTATATCATTGCCTTTGTCATATTATGACATATCACCACTTTTTAAGGCAAATAATTGCATATTCCTGTATACATTCAGTTATTTGCATTTAACATCGTCATTTAATGCTTTTAATTGCAATTAATGAAATGAAAAAATTCTTGCATTGTCAGCTCTTTTTCATTTTGAATTTTACACTTTGTGTAACACAAATATGTGATCGTATATTGGAGCCTCCCACACAGTTCTACACGTTAATCTCAAGAACTCCTCAGAGTTACTCCTCAAGCTCGTATACATGCTTCACACCTACATCGTCTGGGGTCCCTGATATTAATTTGTTTTCTTTCTTGGCCCCTAACGTCTGTTGCAGTGACAACAATGCAGTTAATCACGTCATCATGATCTTGTACTTCTGTAGCATAAACATTTTCTTTGATGCATCCCCTTAAGAAAAAATTAAGTTGATCAGGCTCCTACAGGTGATCACTGTGTCCAAAAAATGATTGTTCCATCAGTTATACACCTAGCATGAAAAGTGGAAAGGGGCACCATCTGCTGAAACATACCCTTGTATGCCCTTGCATACATTATGAGGTGCATCTTCAGTTAACAGCAGAATTGCTCTTTCAAGGACCTCAGCATACTGGATCTCACTGAGACAGTTTGCTGTTACATACTGTCCAGTTAGTTGCTAGTTTCCAATTCTGGTCCAGACATTTATGCTAAATCTTTGATGAAATGAAGAGCAACAAGTAGCATGAGGATTGTTCACCATCCATTCATGTAGATTGAGGATATTGTTTGCTCCATTCCTTTTTAATGTTTCCGCATGAGTCCACAATACATGACACAAGAAGTCAGGTTCATCCACAGTTTTTTTTGTAGAAGTCATTGACAGAACTGAAGGCAAAGATTGCTGTCTGCTGGCTGTAACCCCTATACGGTTCCATGTGAAATTATCTCAACACCCTGAAGTTTGACCATGGGGATGGGAGTCATTAAGTGCGCGCGCGCGCGCACACACACACACCCTGCTTGCAAGAAAGTGTAACTGAAAGGTGCAGACAGAGGTCCACATACCAAAACGAAAAATTACCCCATGTGTTGAGAAACATTTAATTTGTGAGTTATATCAGAAAGAATGCATTATATTGCTGTGGCACATTTTAGCTGTGCTGTGAGAGACGTTCTCAGTAACACCTGTAATGAACAATGTACAGGTAGAGGAGGACACATTGCATTGCCTCAATGGTCGCCCCATTTGACTATTTCTGGATTTTTACCTGTAGAGGGCACCTAAAAACCCTTATGTATGCAGTATGCAGCTTCTGTTTACAACAGAGAAACACCATCATCACTTTATGGATGCCAGACTGTTCACAACTACCCTTGCATTTTGGAATGGATGCAGTGGTCCACAATGAAATGTGTCAAGTCATGCATTGAATCTCATGGAGGGCATTTTCATCTTTAACTCACAAATGAAATGTTTCTGGACATATATTGACCCCCCCCTTTTTTTTTTTGGGTATGTGGAGCTCGTCCAAAAATTTTCCCCACACGTTTCATTTACAGCC